CTTTCTTATTTATTTATTGTGGTACAAATAGATTTACCATGAAAGAGAGCTTGACAAATAGTGTCAAATAATTCAAATGATAAATATACCTCAGTGTTAACATGTTTGAAGAAAATCATCAGCTAACTAGCCTGTATACTGGTGGGGACATTTATGTACCTACCTATTATTAAAAATAAAATTGTTTGAGTTCAACTTTGTCACGTAGACGAGACACGATATCCTATTGAAATTAGAAAAATATCACAACTTGTTTTTTTATTTATGAAATCACTGCAGATGAAAATAAGTTCGATTTTTATTTTTGCACAATTGGGATAATTGTAAACCAAAAAAATTACAAGTAAAAAATCATGGAGTTCTTTTTTAAGTTTTCAAACTATTATTTATGGTCCATACTTAGGAGAATGCAGTACAAGTGAATCAGTGTAATTAGGTTTTTGTAACGAGTAACTAAGATTTTGCAGAAGCCGCTATTTAATAAAATAACTTTAAATAACTTATTGTCACACATACTCACAACAACAATTACTTAGTCACGTTAAGCATTTTGTTTGTAATGGCTTCGATAATAATATAATCGTAAACTGCAAATTCAAAAAGTTAAACAGTTAAAGTTACAGGAAAATCATATTAAGTTGAAGTTGCAGATGTAAGTTTTTCTTGATTTCTCAGAACTTTCACCCTTTGCAAGAAGAAATGAAAAAAAAGAGATTAATTTGGGTTGGAAAAACGCTAAAAATAAAGCAGGACACTGGTTTTTAACAGGAACGTAAAAATAAAAACAAAAAATATGTACGCACCAGCAAGTCATTCACCACGTCCTACTTACCTTACTTACCTGTAGGTACGGATTGGTGAGCTACTACTACGTAGCAAACTATTCAAACCAAATCCGTTTGCGTGGGTGACTGTAGACTTACGTCATGAGCCAGTGTGCACACATCTCTGAACGACTGCTGACAATTTGGTCTATATATACTAACCAGACTCTTTTTTCGCCACGTGCGGGAACGAATCATGCCGCCACGCGGCCGGAGATTCAGTTATACCATCATTTCAGCATTTACAATGCTGGAGTCATGCAGTGTCCATCCGTTGTCGATAACCATCACGTCAGCGTGGCCAAACGGAACACCTGCCTAGCGGCAAATTTTAACGTTCTAAAACCAATCAACGTACAAGTGCTTTGACCCCATGATCCTGTACTCTTAATCCCTTAAACCAAATGACCCGGGGTGTAGGGCTGTAGGGTTTAATTAGCTAATAATTTCATATTTTTATTGAAAATAAAAGTGCTACTTATTACATAAATAGGAAATAACTTGTAAAACATTAGAATGGTATTGGTAGGTTGAAAAAATAATTAGTGATTAAAATAACTCGGTCAGCTTATAAATAAAAATTATTAACAAGCGTAATCTTCCACTCCAAATCTCTTGAGCTCCTAACTTTTTAAACCCCATAACTCCGTGCTCTTCAGCACTTAAACAAAATAACCTTGGGTGAGGAGTTTAATTAGTTAACAATTACATTTTCTCATCAACTATATAACTAAGTACAAAAATGAGGGAAAAAAAATCAATGGGACCCTCGACTCCCTCGAGACGAGACTTTTCGCGCCATCCACCTGCGACGCTCGAAACCAAACTCTGAATAAACCAAATCCACCCACGCACAAGTTCGATCGATAAAGCAGCGCGTACGGAGAGAGAAAAAAGAGGGGGAGGGGATACCACAGTCTCTCTATCTCTCTGCACCGCATGGCGAGTGTCAGTAGCGTTTGCTATTTCCACACATTCATATACATTTATCATATCCATAATATATACACACGACTACAATGTACACGTCTGCGCAATAGAATTTCCTTTGTATTGTAATATGCATACCTATACCTACGTCTACCCACATATACACACGTAATACAAAATAACATGAGCCAAGCGACTAGTAATCACCCGACGGTGGTGTCGTCGTGTATACCGGCCACGAGCAAGATGTCCAAAGCCAAGAAAATCATCGACGAGGCTCGCGAGATCCAGAATCCGGAGCTCGATCTCACGGACAAGGGGATCGCGAGTTTCGACGAGCTGCCTGGTCTACGTGAGTCAACCATATCCACACTCTGCTTCTTTTTTTTTCCTGCCTTTTACGGTGGTATACCACATTTGTCGTCGTCCCCCTCTCGACGGACCAGTTCTGGGAGCGCATTTCCTAATTTGGCGGCGTGCGTGGGTTGAATGCGAGAGTTGTTTGGGCCGTGATTGATGGAATCGGTTGAAAATTTTGACAGGCGTAGTTGTCACTGAGAAAGCACAATTAACGCGGATTCGGTGATTGTTGAGGGCAGCGTTTAATTTAGATTTTTGGGGTCTCAACGGGACGGAAGAAAGTCATTTGTTTGATCAGTGACATCATCGAGCTCGAGGGAAAAGTCGTGATGTTTTCACGGTCAACGCTTTTCTTTGTACGGTAATTACGAATGGGTTTGTGTGGGAATCATATGATGTGGTGTGTACATGGATTTTAAGCGAATATGACTGTAGGAAAATTAATTGAAAAAAAAAGGAGTTTTTTATTATTTTAATTAAGATTGCATTGGTGAAAGCGGTGAGCGTTGAAAAAACACCAACATCAACAGTTGGATAAACTGGTGCAAAAAGTTACGCTTTGCGTGTGAGACACGACCAATTCATGGATCGCGAGAATAATAGGGTTTTATTTTGAAACCGTTTTTATAGCTTAATATAATATTTCATAATGATATTTTTTGTCAGTTAATGTCTTATAAAAAAAAATAATTATGTACTACAAAACGATTTTTCGATTATTTTAAAACGCCTCCCATTACTTAATGCGTTACGACGAATTTATTGACAGAAATGGCAAAACACGAGAAAATATGTTTCAACAAAACCAATCAATTTTATTTTAAATGTTGTGTCCGCAGAAGACATGCAAAAATTTTGTATTCTATAAAACGGTTTTTTGGCTATTTTCGTACAGTTCATTTGTTGAAAATGTTAAGAAGATAGTACGGACAAAAATGGTCAACTCAAAAACAAGTTTTGTGTTCAATATTTCGACCACAAATGTAATTTAATGTAAAATAATTTTTTGGAATTTTTGAAACGATTTTTCCGTTCAAGTGTTAAGACCGCACTGTAAAGAAAAACCTACTAAACAAAAAAGTTTTATTTTAATGAGCTCAACAACTTTTTTATTAAACACGTTGCAGAATTTTAATTTCTTGCTTTCTTGGGCGACAAACAGTTTTCTCGACGTATTTTTTTTTTTTTTTTTTGAGATCTACAAATTTATTTTTGAACGTTACACAATATATATGAGGAAAAAAGTTATCGCGAACAAGCTGGTACTTTTTTTTTTTTTTTTTGGAATGCTGCGGTGGAAATAAAGCCAAAATTCATCTACTTGACATAACTCGGATCACCCTTATATTGGGTTCAAAATTTGTTTTACGTCGAAAATAGGGCATGTCTAAGTGGTTACACTTCTTGCTCTGACGAAAACATAAGGTACTCCCATACAGTGGTCGGGCCCAAAAATTAATAAAAATAGCAACTTTGTATTTACAACAACATAGTATTCAAACTAACTGCAATAAGCAACCACGCGCTCATACTTTCCGCTTCTAATGATCGATTTCGTACATTTGCAGTTCTCATGCAAAATCTTACGAGAATCACACTGAGTCACAACAAAATACAAGGTAACTGTTCGCTTCTGCGATTCATATAAAAAAAAAAAAAAAAAAAAAAAAAAAAACTGACACGATGAACCGTTTGAACAGCCGTACCGCCTGGCCTGGCTAATTTGATCAACCTGGAGATACTAAACTTATTCAACAACCACATAACGGAACTGCCCGTGTCGCTGTCGCAAATGCCAAAGTTGAGGATCTTGAATCTCGGGTACGTGAGGACGGAATAATCGGTAAATAAATACTCGATCGTTACGTTGTTAGTGAATTACAGGATGAACCGACTGAACGTGTTGCCACGGGGTTTCGGCGCCTTCCCGATGCTGGAGGTCTTGGACCTGACCTACAACAATCTCAACGAGAAAAACCTCCCGGGGAACTTTTTCATGATGGGTTCGTATAACTTTGGACACTACATTTTTTCCAAAAGGGTCAGGCTTGACGGTCGATTCGTTTGCAGAGACACTGCGGGCCCTCTACCTGGCCGATAACGATTTCGAGTTCCTACCACCGGAGATCGGACAGCTGAAAAACCTGCAAATAGTAAGGGAATATTATTTTTTTTTTAACTACTGCAAATACAATCAAATGTATTATCACCAGCTAAGCTTGAGGGACAACGATCTGATCGAACTGCCGAAGGAGATCGGCGAACTGAACCGACTGCGCGAGCTCCACATCCAAGGAAACCGGTTGACGGTTCTGCCCCCAGAAATCGGTGAGTCAACGAGAAATCGTCAGTGGGAATTTTGAAAATTGACGGTACATTTCGGTTTGCAGGTAGTCTAGACTTGGCAAGCAACAAGGCGGTCTTTCAGATGGAGTTCAACCCTTGGGTCACTCCGATAGGCGATCAGCTCCAGGTCGGGATTTCGCACGTCATGGACTACCTACGCTCCGAGACTTACAAGTAGTACGTTGAGACGAGGAACTACTCTTTTTTTTTACCACGAGTGTCTTTTATTTATAACAAATTTTTTTTATTTCGTTTCAATAGCGTTTACAACAGACACCAGGCAGCAAAAGGTCCACCACCGCCGATCGAAAACGACAAGAGCAAGAAGATTTCGAGATCTCGAGGGTGAGGGCTCGTCGGGAATCGATTGGTTTTTTTTACACTGCCATAGTTTTTCATTTCCAGCTGAGAGAAGTGTAATTGCGTCCTGAACGCGATTTTCATTGTTTTCATTTTATCAACTTGTAGAGTAACTGTGCCTTACTAGCGTGTAGCACATTTTTAATAGTGGACACACAAATTAATGTTAACAACTGGAGCTGAAGTCAACTTTTATACATAAATATTAACACATGACAGTATTTTTATACTCCGTGAAAAAATAAGGATATTTTTATTTGCGCAGTTTTATGGATTTACTTATTTATTACAACAATGTCTTCAAGACACTACATTTATAATGTATTTACACGTCTAATCGTATTTAATTTACTATTTATTTTAAACCATTGGTTAATAATTTATTTAAAATTAACGCTATTAAATTAATCGGCGTAATATATTTGAGTTTACAAAAATAAATATTTTATTGGAACTACATGGATTTGATTCAAAAGTAAATTTCAATGAATTCGACCACACTTTCTTATCTTATGATTCCTTAATTAAAATCATTTTGTAAATTCTATAAAATAGCAAAAATTGGAAAAGTGAAAATCATTTCATTCAATACATTGCAAAATAAAAGTCCTAACCAATGATCGCCATGTAAATTAATAAATATTATTATTTCATAAACTGTAAGCTTTTTCATTGTAGTTTACAGACAAAATAGTATTTTTTTCACAAAACACCAATCACCTAAATATTCTTAGCAAACACTCCACTGAGCAAAATACTCATGGCACCACAAAATTGTATTTAAGACAGCTATTTAAATAATAAAACATAACAATGAAGTTTTTTTTACCTAACACAGCCTCGTACAAAGTTCAATTAGGAGACGATTTTAATCTTCATCACTAGGTTCGTCATCTGTGCACTCGCACTCTTCTATAAGTCTGGTAAGCTCTGCATCGTGATCCATTGATTCGTTCTCTGACAAATGACTGTTACCTTCGACGAATTTGGCAAATCTGAAATGAAAATTTAAAAAATGAATGAGTAATTGAGTGAAATGGTATTCGATCACTCGTATAATTGAATCAAGTGTACCTGACCGGATCCTTGAGTTTCAGTACAGTTTTCCAGGGGTCACACTTGGGACTGTGGCAGTACTCTTTCAAGCCAGATAAAGCTTTAAAAGTCTCTCTCTCTGCCTCCTTGCGATACTCATCATCTGTTAATAAACGACGTTGATCCGGAAACATGTGTTTCCTAACGTGATCCAAATAAATGAGATATTTCGTAAAAAGTTAAACGTTGGATGAAAAAAATAAGAATCACGTGGAAAAAAAACATTGATTTTATTTAACAAAATAAGAGAAATATGTACAAAGAGATAAGCATTAGAGGGTTGAAGAACATGTGATGTGGTGTAAATTATAAGCAGCATGTGAGAATTCTTTAAGAGAAAGTACAAAACTAATAATAAGCCTTGTCAGTATCCCTTTACAACTTACCAATAAGTGTGTCCTTTACGAAAAACGACTGTTGGAAAATTATAAAACACTACGAGGATCACACATACTGCTGTCGATGCTTCTCGAAAATAGCTACTGTGATACACTAATATCAATCCAATGATCTGTTGTAAGTGAACGATTTACGTATGAATAAAGTTTATCAACGTATTTATGAGTTTTAAAGAAACGCTCTACACTAACCTGCAACACCCATTGTATGATGTTTTTTGTTCTGGGGTTAGTTACCGGACCAAATCGGTAACAAATAATAAAGCTAGTCAGGGCAGTGGTGAGAATGTAATACACAACGTAGTCGCGATATTGAATGGCAATCAGTTGTGCGTTTTCCCATATCATTTGAGCAACATAAAAACTCATCGTGTAGCCTGTTGCCATCATCAAGTACATAAACTTGCCCTGTATAAATGTAATTATAGTCACGTGCTTTAATTGATCTTGAGGTAAATTGGCAAATATGTGAACGAACCTTTGGCAATAACTTTCCAATTATATAAATCAACGCAACGAATGAAAGTGTCACACCAAACGTGATTCCACTGGCGTAATAAAACACTGTATTTCTACTCAGTCTTTGTGCAGACCAAAATAAAAAAACACCTAGGACCATCATTGATACTTTCCAACTATCTAAATCTAGTGTTAAAAGAAATGGTTAAGTCACGGAAATATTTAATGTACGTGATGTATGGCACTGTAAAAACTTACTATTTTCCGACATGACCATCTTGTACTGGAATTGATTTAATTTTTTGTTCATGTATACACCAATACAACTATTTTCAAAAGGATTAATTCTAAACTGTTTGCTTTTCTTGGCATTGAACAAAGAAAACCTCCAGTACTTTTGATTGTCCTCGTGCTTCTCCACCACTTCGTGAGGTGACATACCTTCATAAAGTTCATACGTTTCTAAATTCGTTTTTAGACTTATCTGAAAACAAAGATAAAAGCTTAATGCCTCTGGAAAGTATCATGTAGTTACGTACATTAATTATTAGTGAACAAATAAACTTACAACAATGGTCCTCCAAAAGTTCATGATGTACTTGGAGTTGGCGTTGTGACAAAAAATACTCAAGCCAGGCTTATCATTGCTTATGTACTCACCAGGTTCCATGAAGTACACTGCAAGTTTTTTGTTTTGTTTTAATAAGTAATGCACTTTGTTGATAAACAATTAAATGACAAAACATTTTGTTAATGCAAAAATATTACAATAATCTTAATTCGCAAGTTATCAAAGAAAACCTTTTACATTTTGATTTTTTGCGTGATTCAAAGGACCAAAATGTACAAAATCACCAATAAATTGTAAAACAAACTTAACACAGCAAGTAGTAGGTTAATAAACAATTAGATCACACAAACTCACCGGATTCTTTATCATAGAGCGAGGCTCGGCCGCTTCGTACAACAGCAAGGATCACCGTTAGGACGGCGATTACGCTCCTTCCTGGGATGCACCTCATCGTCGCTTTTTTCGGCCTTGAACCGCTATCACGAGGGTAAATTCATTGAAAAGGACGCACAGCGGCTTATACTTTTGTTTACGACGGCAACACGCCAAAAATATTTCACCCTTATGAGGTTATGTTCTTATGTTTTTGTTTTATTCGCGCGCTGCCGCATCGCGCGGGAAAATTAAATCACGAGATAAGTTGGTTGCACTGGTTTTTTTTTTTTTCTGACAGTTGGTAGTGCTTGCTCAAAAGCATGGCGCAACAGAGATTTGATTTGCAGTTGCAAATGGAGACTGATATAACTATGGAATTTTGAAGACTCTTTTACAGAACAGTACCCCATGACCCACGGTCCCCACGCCATAGTTTCACAATAGAATGTAATGTGGGATGTGGTTGTGGTCTTGTGGTACAGATCGAAATTCCACTACATGTACAGCTTGACGTACAGCTGTCACGCGATTGGTCGGTCACGAATCAGTTGATCAAACGATCGAGCGGATTAGCGTTCAACAAGGGCATGAGATGAGCAACGTTTGGCGCGATGACTGATACAAATATGTTTGATTGATATTCTCCCTCGCGAGTTTTTCGTCGTTACATACTTATCTGTAGGTAGTTGGAGAGCCAGAGGTTTCCATTTCGTTGTTGGATGGAATTTAACGAAATCTTGCAAAAACTATAGATTGTTGTCCATATAATGATCCTTTAAAAAAATTAGAAAGAATCTGGCCAGGAAGACCCTTTTTTTACAGCAAAATAACTTGTTTGCGCCACAAAAATCAAGTTTTATCAAGTAAGTGCATGCTTAAGTCTTCTCTCTTGCAGAAATAGATGCACCTCGCTGTTATTAAACTTATGTTGTTTTCTTTTGAGTGATGCAATTTTTTAATTAAAAATAAGCAGATAACTACACGATACATAACTGAAAGCTATCATTAAAGTAATATAGGAAAAAAAATTTTTATTGTTATTATTTTTTTGCTTATTATTACCATTTGTTCTTTTTTTATGTGACATATGATAAATATAACTAAAATTTCCTTTTTTTCATTATGGGCGTGTGCCAAAAAAAATATTTGACGTAAATTTTTATTAGTAGAATGCAGTATTGGTAAAGAAAATCTTGAATCTTGATGTATGAGAGCACAATAAAAGCAGTTTTGTGCACATTTTAGTAGTTAATTTATAGTAAACTTTCTGTAAATATAATTTTTCTTCTTGGATAAAACAAGTGCTAAATTTTTGCAAAAACAGCGCTGACTTAACTTGAAAAAACTCCGAGCTTTTCTTCGCTAAGATATTCTACAAAACTAGAAAAACGTTACTTATAGTTACGCAAACTTAAGAAAGTACTTGATTATCTTTGTGTTATTCTCAATAACAAATTTTAAAACAGTTTTTTTTTGTTTTTTGACTATTTTCATCATAGATTTTTCATAAAATAGGAATTAAAATAATTATACAATGTACTTCAAAACTTAGTATTCAAACTCACACAAATTGACTGGTCAGCAAACATAAAGATTCAACTTTACAAATACCAAAAAAATTTTGCAACTGAAAACTCCTGTAACGTTTTGAAGCTATGTGAATATTATTCATTTTCCTCAAGTAGTTCTCCACGACTTGTTAATGTAAAATTACAGAATATCATTAAATGTTGAAAAATAATTGTTCATAAAACGTTTTACTATTTTTATTATATCTGTGTCCTGAAAAGTTGTACGAGAAAAAAAAAAAAAAAAAAACAGCTGTTAACAGAAACCTGAATTTTCTTAATAAGACGTTGAAGGAAATGAAAGAAATGAAAAATAATAGTTGAAAAATGCTTAAATATTGAAAAATTCAATGTACACTAATAAAAGACGAAGAGATTTTAGTTTTTTAAAAGTAAATTTTTACTTTGTTTTTAAGATACTTTTTACTACATACTGAGGCAAAAATATTGTTTGAGGGGTTGAAAAAGCCTATAAATTAATTTGTAATGTAGTGTGTGAATATACACACATAATTGTTAAGAAAATTATGAGCAACAACCTAAATTACGTGCTCAACACATGTTTCCACTTCCTCAAGATTCTTAAACAAATAATACGTGTATCTGTAAATATTTTTATTCCTATCGGGACATAAAAAACCAATGTATCTTGATTTTTTGGCTTCTAAAGTCTAACCACATCATTCATTTTTATACAAAATATTGACTTAATTTTCTAATTTATTCAGGATTAAAAAGAAAATTCGACTGTATTCAATAAATGATTGCGTAACACATATTTAAAACAAGGATATAGAAATACGTCTTTTATCATTTTTATGCCTCATCAATTTCAAATTATGCGGTGAAAGTAGAACTGTTGTACAAATGTTTTAATTCAATTAAATTTAAAGTTTGATTTACTATACATTAGTAGTTGTACTCACGTAAAATAGTCTCGCTTTTACTATCTCATATAACGACGTGTATAATGATTTATTTAATTTTGTGAGGAAACGTTTGAATTCTCTTTACATATTTTTAGCCAAAAATGATGAAGCTAACCAGCCTCGTTGTAACATTGGCCGTTATTTCATTCATGCCATGCGATTCAACAAAAAATATGGAAAGTCAAGTTCCTGTAATTTTGGATGTACAAAAGTTCTATGCGACCACCAGCTTAGGAATTATTTACAGGAGCAACGAAGGTAAGCAAAAGCAAAGCGATTTTAAAAAAGGTATAAATACTTAATTACAACAATTTTTCTCTTAAAACCACAGATATACATTCAGTAGTTAACATGGTGAAAAAATTTTCGCGTGAAATGGTATACTCCGTAGCTGCGACTATATCAGATCTTCCAGAAAAGTATCCAAAACTAAGAAATTACTCGAAAACCCTTTTCGTGGTGTTTTTAAATTCTGACAATGATTTCGAACAATTCACACACTTTTCGAGGCATCACAATCTGTCGCCTCACGTATGGTTATTATTATTCTAGCCTGCCATTACTGAACAAATTGATAGCACTTGCCGATATCCTAAGAAGAATCACCTTCACTTAAATACAAGAAGTGAAGTTTTGATAAAATGCGGAGACAATCAAAACATTCATGAATGGTTTGCTGTCGGCCCCCAAAATGAATTACAAGTTTATAAATTATTTGAGTGGAGCAAGGAAAAAGGATTAACTATCACAGACAAGCGAGCTTTAACGAGTATCGTTGAAAGACAAAGGAATCTGACGGTAGGTGCGTCGGCTAAAATTAACACAGATGTAATGCAGGTTTTCAATAGAACATTTATTTGTTCTAAAATTACACAGTTAATGCATAAAAGAAATAACAATAATTATTTTTTTTGCATTGCGTAGTCTCCTCGTTTTTATTCTACAGTAGTTCAAGATTTTGCGTTAAAAACAGGATTGGCACTAAAGTATGAAAACTTCTCCCATTTTGAGAGTGGATCAAATGAAAGTATGAAGAACACATCAATTAATTCTACACTATTATCAAATGAGAGTATTATTGTTCCTGGCATATTTGTAACCAATAAGAATTTAGATTTGTATGACACAACGATTGAAATTACGAGTTATCAAGATTCATTTTGGCATAAATTACCAGACACCAAGGAAATTCCATGGAATGGTTATTTTGAGGTAAAAAAATTTGAAATGTAGAATATTTATGACCTTATTTCTTTATAACTTTTAATAACTTATTAATTTAACAGGTTTTTAGTAAGCGTATTTGGATTTTCTTGATTANCGAGTATCGTTGAAAGACGAAGGAATCTGACGGTAGGTGCGTCGGCTAAAATTAACACAGATGTAATGCAGGTTTTCAATAGAACATTTATTTGTTCTAAAATTACACAGTTAATGCATAAAAGAAATACCAATAATTATTTTTTTTTTGCATTGCGTAGTCTCCTCGTTTTTATTCTACAGTAGTTCAAGATTTTGCGTTAAAAACAAGATTGGCACTAAAGTATGAAAACTTCTCCCATTTTGAGAGTGGATCAAATGAAAGTATGAAGAACACATCAATTAATTCTACACAATTATCAAATGAGAGTATTATTGTTCCTGGCATGTTTGTAACCAATAAGAATTTAGATTTGTATGACATAACGATTGAAATCACGAGTTATCAAGATTCATTTTGGCATAAATTACCAGACACCAAGGAAATTCCATGGAGTGGTTATTTTGAGGTTACAAAATTTGAAATGTAGAATATTTATGACCTTATTTCTTTATAACTTTTAATAACTTATTAATTTAACAGGTTTTTAGTAAGCGTATTTGGATTTTCTTAATTACACTTATAGTTATTTCATCAATTCTATTTAGTATGATTTTAGTATCACACAGTGATAGAAGAGGATTTGTTTTTAAACTGTTGGACAGTTTTTTAAACGTATGGCGGATATTTGTCCATCAAGAGTTCACAGGTAAATTGTTAATAGAGGTTTCTTACAAAAATACAGCAGACTTAAACATCATGGTTCGATAGCACTTCTGCGTTGAACACTAATTCTCTTACCAAGAGCACACCTGCCGCCCAAAAACGCCTAAGGTTCGAAATAGTTATCACGTCATACAAGTACCATCATCATCAGGGCTATTTTGTTCATCGTGGGGTAACCGTGGTTTGACAGCGATTGTGTCGTGAATAATATTTTTCTACCGAGGGTGCTGTCAACGTTAAAATTTCATGAAAAAGGCTTCGTGGTAGGAAAAAGTTTTCATAGCCGTAGTGTTGACACAGTAAGCGGCAAGAATTTTACTGCACACTGGAAAAAATTTTTCTACACATTGCTTTTCAACATTCTTACTTCTTTTATACCTATTCTCCTCACACTTATTCTCCAAAAAATCTTAAGGTTGTATAGGACACCCCTTTCACGCTGGAGTGCACGTTTAAAACAACATTTTTCATCAAGTCTTCCAAATACTTAACAATGACATTACTAATAAATTATAAATATATGGTGTGGCGAAATCAATAAAAAATTTTGTTTGAACTAATCACTCAATTATTTATAAGAATATAGGTATTAAAAAAAATCTACTTAACGATTGTTAACTTATATAATTGACTTCCGATTTCCAT